GGACCCCTCACAAAAACCGCATGAAATCATACTCCCACTCCTGGCCTAACCCACCAGGAAGGACGTCCTGAGCATGCTCTATAGCCGGCCTAACCCACCGCGCTACATCCACGCTTTGTGACCACACCTCTATTTTTAATAAGAGCTACTCAAGGGTGAGTAACTCTTCAAAATAACCGAACTAAAACAAAAAGCTTTTGTGAAAACAACTAACTAAAATCATTATTAAAAAATATTAAACTAATAAAAGTTTTATAAAATGTAAAATCACATGATGCAATATATAGATCAGAATACAACACCAAGGACGAACATCAAAAGACAAGACGACCCCACTACACTCGAGAGAGAATGACCAACTACAATCGATATGCCGCTCACAACCACAACTCAAAGGATTTAGAGTACGACTTGACCTCGCAGAAAAGGACTTCATTGAACTAGACCAATGACCACCTCGATGTTCAAGTATACGTACAGATCCGAGTAACCAGGCATCCCCTCCACGCACAATCTCCACGCCATTCCCAAGCTAGATCAGACACAAAAGAAGTTCTCCACGAAGAACAGAAAAACCTGACATAGCCAACCATTCTGAAATCAGATTTGAGTTTGTTGCGAAGACTTAGTCGTTGTCACAAGAAGAACACAACGTCTTATGTCTCTAACTCCAGCTTCCTGGAACTTCCTTAACAAAGAAGAAGCGGAAGAAAATTATGATGTTCACCAAATACCAACGTCCATCATCCATCCTTGAATTACAGAAGAACTGTTCTAAAAAACTCTGTAAAACCCGGATGGGTGGAACCTGATCTAAACTACATTTTATGATTGGATAAATTAAATGTTTTACCAATGTAAAGTATTTAATATTAACCAATCACGATCCATCTAACTAACAACCCACTTATTTGTAAGTGCTGAAGTTACTTGTAATTTCAGCACCAGAGAGATTTGAATTTAACTTAGAAATTAGTTGGACTCTCCCGAGCACTTCAGCAGCCGCAATAAACCAGTATACCCTAGATCTATTGAGCCTAGCAGAGACTAGTTAAACAACCTGAGACTAGATAGTATAAGAGTAAGATTAGGATCGGTATTAGACTAAGAAGTTGCACGAATCTATCCGGCCGAAAATAAGATAGCGTGACGAGCAGACGGTGTACCCTATCCGAAATTACTCTATGAGTTATACACTCCAGTCCTAACTCACGTCACATTTTCTGTTATAAATTTTTAACTCAATTAAATAAATTTTCCTTATTTTTCCTCTTTTTGTTTGAGCCTTTGTTAAATCGACTTAGTGGCCTCATGTTGCCTATTTTGAAGAGAGAAAAATTTCTCTTTTATTTGTGTTTTGATGAGGAGGGAGACTGGTTTGTAAGACTTTCGTATGAGAAAATTTTTTGGCTCAAAAGTTTACTGCTTGGCATTTTTTCTCGATGCGAGTACCACATTTTATTATCTTAATATACTTTCTTTATAACCAATCGAGTCAAACAATCAACCGTGTGATAGATTTTGTTTTTTGGCATTTTCGTTTTTTTTTTTGCAATCAGCGGCTTTCGTCTCATTTTAGTCAGCTACTTATGCATGCTTTGTTTTGATCGTGTTGCGAAACTTCGCTTGGCCGCTGTAATAAAACTGATGTAAACATCTTAATATTTTTATGTATTCTTGAGTTTCTTATCAGCTGAAAGAGTAAAAGTTGAATCGACGCTTAAAGCATTAGAGGTGCAATATCAGGACAAATAATAAAACTTCGAGAAGATTTTCCGAATACTTTTCAAAATGACGATTTCACTAAAGGAGTTTTTGGGGGAAATTTTTTCTGACTAGATTTGGAAACATGAAAAATGGCGTCAAAAAATCCTCTGTTTGTCTGCTTTTTTGTCGGCTTAGTTACCGCAGCACCAAATGTGCCTAAAGTTTGGGCATTTTTACGAACTAAAAAACATTTCAGTGTATTCCGGTTTTCGGCAAGTAATTGAGCTCCAAGAAATTAAACGTATTTCTTGCTGTGTTTTATTTTGAAAGTTGTTTTCTTAATGAATTCAAGGGTTGTTCTGTGCCTTTAGTGCATTGTTAACACCCGTGCTTGAGATCACAAACCCCAGAAGTTCGATTTCAGTCGGGGCCTGTTTTTTGTCGAAACAGAAACGTTTCAGCTAATTTTTGTCGGCGCAGGTCCCGCAGAAAGGCTCGGTTTCTTTTTAGCATTTTGAAAGCTCTTTGTAAAGTTTCCAATATTGCAAGTAATTTTTTTTCAGTGTTTTTTCGTCTTTTTGCTTGCTGGTAATCATAGTTACGCACTTTTGTATCGCAAGTGATGCGAAGCTTCGCTTCGCCTCATTGCATAAAACATAATTATTTAGGATAAGAAAACTTGATTAAACTTTGAAAACCTAGTTTTAAGAGCTTAATCTAGCTCTTTCTTCTTAAAAAAATTTCAAAATAGATTTTGAAATTATTGTGCAAAAAGTTGAAAAATCTTCAATTTTTTCTCGTTCATTTCTGCTTTTCATTCGTTTTTGAAGACACGTGTTGTCGATTATGCTTAATTCACTAATTTTCTTCGCGTTGGTTTAATTCTCTCAACACACCATGCACAGACAAAACGACTCTAATTTAAAAAATTGTAATCTGTTTAAGCATGTGCACAGTCACAGGCAATCTTCGTTGCTCATGTTGATGGATCTATTTCAATGTTGCGTGTTTGTTGTGTCCTGTGAAGCTTTCGTCGGGTGTGTCGATTGTTTGACAAATAACAACAGAAATGTATGGGAGATAGGATTGTCAAATTGTTTCTTTTAAGGTTTCTTTTTGCTTTTTGAATGGTTGCAAACCGAAAAAATTGAAAATACTAAGATATATACGCTTGCAATTAGCAAGCTTTTGTCAAACCGGAGTATAGACTTTTCCGGGTTAACAACTTGCTGAACAGAATCATTTGTATTTTGGCTCATATTGAGTTCAAACTCCTGTGCGTTCGCGGCCAACTTAGCCTGGAGGTAGTGAATATGCCTGGGATTTCAAAGGTCTTGGGTTCGAATCTGACCTGAAACTGTTTTTTTTTAAACGGGAAAAATTCTGTTTCAAAGATTTGAAACCTAAAAAGTTTTTTTGGAAAGTTTTTACTGTTGAAGTTTTAAGTTAAATGTCTGTTGACCGTTTTTTAGAACTTTGGCCGTTTTTTAGAAACTGTTTAAATTTTCTTAAAATTTACGCAATCAAATCTGAGATGAAAAATCCAATTGAAAGAACTGGTTGCAAAAATGGCGACTCCTTTTTTGTCAGAGAAATGTTGTCTTCTTAGGAAAATTGATCATCTCAAAATTTTTACACATGCAAACTTCAGTGAGTGTTATTGTGATAGTACGACTATTTCTTTTCTAACATAAGTAGTAAATAATGGTGCCACCTCTGTTATATCTCGCAATTTTTTGAAATGCATAATTTATACATAATTTGTATTAATGCTTTCCAATTTTTTACATGCAAAGTTACTGTGGATGCCTTCAGTTTGTTGTATACCAAATTATTACTTGCAAAATTGTGTCTATTTGTTTTTGGTGCTACCTTTGTTGCATCGCATTGGCAATTTATTAGCATAAGCTGTTTTGTTTGTAACTAAGGTTTGCCGATTGTTAAGCGTTCGTGGCTGAGAGGCCAGGGCTTAAGACTCCAAATCGTAAGGTGGCAGGTTCGAATCCAATACTGCATAATTTATACATAATTTGTATAAATGCTTTCCAATTTTTTACTTGCAAAGTTAGAGTGGATGCCTTCAATTTGTTATATACCAAATTATTACTTGCAAAATTGTGTCTATTTGTTTTTGGTGCTACTTTTGTTGCATCGCATCGGCAATTTATTAGCATGGGCTGTTTTGTTTGTAACTAGAAATTGCCGATTGTTAAGCGTTCGTGGCCGAGAGGGCAGGGCTTAAGACTCAGAATCGTAAGGTCGCAGTTTCGAATCCAATACTAGCAAAGTTATGCTGATTCGAGTTTTAAGTTTTTTTTTGTTATAAAGATGCTTTTTTGTCGTGTTCTGGCTAGTGTTTATCAATTTTTTAAATCTTTTTTTTGTGCAGCATCAGTATAGCAAATTCATTCAATTTCTAACACGTACCTCCAGCTTCAGCTGGGCGGCTAGTTGTTTTGAGACATAAAAATTTTTTTGGATCACCTAGTTTTTTTTTTCGACTTATGTTTGTGTTGTATCGCAAGTGGTGCTGAGCTCGCTTCGCCTCTGTGTTACAAAAATTGATCCGGTGATTTTGTGGCAGGTGCGAGAATAGGTTCAGTGAAGCTGTACGATCCCCCGGCGGCTGATCCGGATGGACTGACTATGGGTCTGGTGCAGGCCACTTTCGTGGTGGGCACGGAGAACCAGTCCAACTGGTGGCCAGTGTGCGAAATGCCTATAGATGTGAGTGAGGACATTCATTCGCACTCTGGCTCATATGGGAGGCTGAAAAAAAGAACATATAACCGTTTTATTATTACCCGTTTAATAAATGACTTTTTTCCTTTCCCCACCAGCGAATATTTACTCAAAAAACTTATGTTAGCCATGTCTGATTACAATAAAAATGGTCATGTTGACTAATTAAGCTATTCTAAACATATTTAGTTTTCAGATGTAACCATAGAAAACCATTCGTTATTCCATAAAAGATTTAATCCCAGATGGGGGGATTGGTTCTATTACTGTTTTTTTTTCTAGCCGATCCTGCAATATTGTATTGCCAAGGTTCAATACGTGATCGCATACGCAATTTCGGGACCATTTCGAAAGTATCGCATCCTTCAGAAATTAACTTTCTATAAGTTTTGATGCGTTCTACTTTGTTTCTACGTGTGATAGTTGTTCTTTTCTGCTGTGATGATCATTTTGGGATTTTCGCATTAATTTTATTCAGTTTCATGTTTTTGGTTCGTGCCTGCGAAGTGCAACTTGGCTTGTTTGATAACGTGTGCTATTGTGATGTTCAGGTGGCGGAGAAAGTGTGTGACATGGTGCTGCCTGCGACCTACAGTGTGTTTGTGGGTGGGTCAACTCTAGTGGCCAGAGACATCCTGGGGGTGGCCTACTGTCTCGACATCACCTGTCCACAGAACGAAACTGTGCCGCTCACTGAGTGTCAAATAAGCTTGTCCGACCAGCAAGTTATGACCAGTTATCTCATATGTCTAGGTAGCCTCTTAAACTATATTTTGTACCACTTAGTTATTATGGTGACCTAATTCGAACTAGATGCAGGTACAGTAGCGGATATATATGGGGGGGGGATGGACGGACGCCCCCTCTAATGGATTTGACCCCCTGCCGACCTAAAGGGTCCCCCTTGGTAATATTTTGAGATATCTATTTTTGGTAAGATGCCCTAAAATTTTTCGAAAGTCGCCTATGGCGCCAATATACGCTAATTTTTGAGGGGAGCGCGCGCCGAAAAAACGCGATTTTTTGGTCAACATTTTTCAAAATTTGCCAAAAAACGCATTTTTTGGCGTGTTTGTATAAAAACTTTATAGTGATTTGGGAGAGCTCAGAGAATCAATTAGGCGCTTTTTTCCAGTTTCCCACGCCCCTCGTAAAATTTAAAAATGAAGCTGTTCAAAAATTGTTCACACGCCATTTTGCATGTAAGAAATGTTGTGAAAGTTTGTTCACCTGTTCACGCTGACACGTTTTGATGCAGTTTATAACATGAAAAGTGGTTTTAAACAAGTTTTCATATAATAAATTTCCGAAAAAATCAAGGGGGAAACTGGAAAAGAGCCCAATTCGGTCGACCTAATACAAGGTCGACAAAATTTTCGATTTTTTTTAAAGTCCGCCCCCCTCGAGAAAATCCTAGATCCGCCCCTGTGCAGGTATAAACAAAATGAGACTATTATTATTGCAAGCTTCGAATTTTTGCAAAGTTTGCAGAAATTAGTGTCCTTTTTAGTAAACAGAGTCAAAAAAGAACTACTAAGTGCGTTTCGCCCAATCTTTTTCTGCATACTGTGGTTGTTTTAGTTTTGTGCATTGCCCATCTTCAGTCAGAGCCAATCCATTTATTCTGTTGTCCGTCCATGATTCATTTTGTTTTCCTTTATTAAAAGTCACGACGCAGTGAATTTATAGGTCTTGATGATTTTTTGGTAGTGATTTTTTGGTTGTTCAGGTAAAAGTTTTATTTGTTCACCTTCTAATTTGATTTTTCGCGGTCTGACTTATTAAGTTCACTTTTTTTCCTTTTTTTTAAAGGAAGGCAAAATCCGCTGTTGAACAGCAACAATTTAAAGGCCACGAAAAACGTGATCGACTTCTAGTTTCGAAAGTGGAATTTAATTTTCAGATTTCCCTGCGAAATAAAAATTTTACCTTTGGATCCAGTTTATGGGCTACTTTTACCAAAAAAAGCAATCATAAATTGTTCTTGAGTCCCAAAAAGCTTTAAGGCCATCTATTTGTTCGTGGAATTTTGAAAATCGAAGTTGTTTCCAAAAACACCAAGTCAGTTTCTTTGGTTTCCTTGCTTTCTTTGGCGAAAATGTTTAAATTAAACATCGAATGTTCATGTCATTGTTGGTTGATTTTTTATGGCTGTAATTTGTATATTGATGTTTTTCCTAATATTGTAAATGAGTTTTGTTTGTTTATTAATGGCTATTTACACAAGCATAGCTTGTGTTATAGTATGAACTTTCTTTTTTCCAACCTAAATCGCAAATATTGCTGCGATGCAATTGTTGCGTTAAAATGTGTTCATTTTGAAAGTGTTTGTTTTGATCAATAACCAGCTATTAAGTACAGTCAATGCTAACCTTATTAACACAGACTATAGCTTCAAGGTATCATGGATCTGTAGCGTAGAGAAAGTGAAGGAGACCCGCAACAAAAAAGAGGGTTCGAACCTCGGAAGGGTCGGATTTTTTAATGAACTTTTTCGTATACTAGTTAAATGTGTCCGCTTTATAAATTGAGGCATGTTAGTTGGTAAATTTCTTTTCAAAAGGACTGGTACTGCTAATGCGTCATAATTGGCTTGCATCACTTAGCACTTATGTAGACTCATATTTGGCGTGCGTCACTTAAGAGATTTTGTAAACTCAAAGTTTTACACGTTAAGTGTTTCCCAGTAGCGTTATCGGTCGTTTTTTTTTGCTTGTGAATGCGCAGTGCCACATCGCCTCTGTGTATGATTGTTAATTGTTATGTAGTGTTATTTGTGATTGTTTTTGTGACTATGATCTATTGTTAGTTGACTGTTCAGATGAGCCTACTAACAGAGAGTGTTGGATCACTGACTCCAACATGCCCATGTACTGTGTGGAGCCTGTGAGGTACGAGAGAGTGAGCAATGTCATGTCCTACTTGGGATTCGCAGTCGCAGTAAGTACTCATCGTCTTTTTTTGTTTGTAACTTCCTTCGCCGGTAATTAGGCACGTGATCAGAAGATGCATGTTGTCAATTCCACGACTGTCCCACTGTTATCGCGGTGAGTCGATACACAAAAAAATCAAAACCAGTGACCAAAGGGATTCGGATCCCGAATTTGGACAGGCCAAGCAGGTCACGATGGTTTTTTTTGTTTCTTTTTTCAGGAATGTATTAAAATTTGTTCAAGCTCAAATTTACTTTTTCGCGTTTGGACTTTTGATTTCACTTAAGTTCAGTTCGTCTCCTTTGTTAAAAGAAGGCAAACTACACTATCAAACAGTGCAAGTGTAAAAGTCACGAGAAACATGATCGACTTCTAACTTCGGAAATGAAATTCAAGTATCAGATTTCCCTGCGAAACTCAATTATAAATTGTTCGAGATTTTCAACAAGCTGTAAGGCCATCTGTTTCTTTCTTCGAAATTCGAAAGTTGAGTTTTTTAAAATAACAAGTCAGTATTGTTTCTGTGTAAGTTCATTGACTCTTTACAATTTGTCTGTTGGATGTTTTTATACTCTGAAATGCTCGTTTTCAATATACATTTTGAACAACAGTTACTTCGAAACTTTTTTCATAGAGGAAGAGCAAATTATCACAACAACCTTCTATGAAGTTACCAAATCTGTTCCTCATCTGCATTAAGTTTTCAATCCGCGTTATAAAGTAAGCACTGCCGAGTTTAGTAAAAATTTCACACCGATTTATTCATTCTTCTCGCTAAGATTGTTTCACTTGGCATGGACAATTTTTTACGCCGCTTATTCGAGAAAGAGTTCGCTCCGATGGCATTTTCAGACCCGTATTTATTTGTTTATGCTTTCCAACAAAGATTTGGAGAATTTCATAGAGAGTAGCTCTGATCATTTGCTCTTGCTCTATATAAAGTTTTTGCTGAAACTCGAAGTAATTAGTGTCCAAATTTGCATTGAAAACAGTAATTTCAGAGAGTAAAAACCTGAATTTGCGCTCGTTTTTGTCCACTACTGTAACAAGATTGCATTGCTCGTCTGAATTATGAAGTCACTTATTAAGTCAATCGTGATGAGACACACACCCCTGAAATGCTGAAAACGATATGCGTTCCGTGAACAATATCCAAATGCGTGATCAACTTTTAAGAAAACGACGAGAAGCGACTGTTAAAAGCTTGATCTTTCAGAGCTTTCGAAAATCGTATATAAATACTGCAACAATCCAAAACTCATCGTTTCACGTCGCTCGTAAATGGAGGTCCTGTCTTTAAGATAACAACCACAAACGCAGCGTTTTCTCTCATTTGGTAATTTCGCTCTCATTTGGTAATCTCGCTCTCAAATGCCACAAACTCCCTAAATGGATGTCGAGTACTCGTGATAATGCTCGGAAACCTGATTTTGTATTCACAAATTGCGTCGAAACCATCAGGCAATTGTTAATCTGAAACTTTGCTTGACCTCCTCTATTGACTTGTCCCGAAGGCTTCTGTGCCACTCGTGAAAAATCTGGCATTGCATGTCTTGAGAAATTGATGTTTAACTGCGACTGAAGTCGTTTTCTCAGCAAATTCACCAAAACACTAGCAGAGAAAGCTTAGAGCAAATTCTGGTTTTTAAGAGTCGATAAACGAAGTTCAGTCTCTTAAATAGGTCACGATGGTTTTTTTTGTTTCTTTTTTCAGGAAAGTATTAAAATTTGTTCAAGCTCAAATTAACTTTTTCGCGTTTGGACTTTTGATTTCACTTAAGTTCAGTTCGTCTCCTTTGTTAAAAGAAGGCAAACTACACTATCAAACAGTGCAAGTGTAAAAGTCACGAGAAACATGATCGACTTCTAACTTCGGAAATGAAATTCAAGTATCAGATTTCCCTGCGAAACTCAATTATAAATTGTTCGAGATTTTCAACAAGCTGTAAGGCCATCTGTTTCTTTCTTCGAAATTCGAAAGTTGAGTTTTTTAAAATAACAAGTCAGTATTGTTTCTGTGTAAGTTCATTGACTCTTTACAATTTGTCTGTTGGATGTTTTTATACTCTGAAATGCTCGTTTTCAATATACATTTTGAACAACAGTTACTTCGAAACTTTTTTCATAGAGGAAGAGCAAATTATCACAACAACCTTCTATGAAGTTACCAAATCTGTTCCTCATCTGCATTAAGTTTTCAATCCGCGTTATAAAGTAAGCACTGCCGAGTTTAGTAAAAATTTCACACCGATTTATTCATTCTTCTCGCTAAGATTGTTTCACTTGGCATGGACAATTTTTTACGCCGCTTATTCGAGAAAGAGTTCGCTCCGATGGCATTTTCAGACCCGTATTTATTTGTTAATGCTTTCCAACAAAGATTTGGAGAATTTCATAGAGAGTAGCTCTGATCATTTGCTCTTGCTCTATATAAAGTTTTTGCTGAAACTCGAAGTAATTAGTGTCCAAATTTGCATTGAAAACAGTAATTTCAGAGTAAAAACCTGAATTTGCGCTCGTTTTTGTCCACTACTGTAACAAGATTGCATTGCTCGTCTGAATTATGAAGTCACTTATTAAGTCAATCGTGATGAGACACACACCCCTGAAATGCTGAAAACGATATGCGTTCCGTGAACAATATCCAAATGCGTGATCAACTTTTAAGAAAACGACGAGAAGCGACTGTTAAAAGCATGATCTTTCAGAGCTAGATAAAAGTTCTTTTAATAACTTTCTCTTTAATACCTTAACTCTTGGAAATGACGGCCGCTTTAAAAGTCTCATAGGTCATAAAACATCCTATAGTTGATTTTCATAAAAAATGGAATGCGTGAGATATTTTCCAAATTATAAAATAATTTCTGGTGGAGGATGGTATAGGAATTTCTTTTAATGTCAGAAAATTTACTGCTCTTCCTGAATCAAGGGTCGTTCGTCACTTGGAAACTTAATTAATGAAAGTATAATTAAGCGTCTTATCGTTTTTGGACTGAGACGTGCTCTGTATTGTAGGTGTTCAGTGTCTTTGCGGTTATGTGCGGCTTCTTGGCTGCAGATGCAAATCGAATCATCCAGCTGAACAAACTGGACTCTTCAGGCGGAAGAAACAAACAGTCACTAATAGGCATGAACAAGCATGGATCCACCACTGCCAACTGAACAAAATGTTGATTCTTTTTTCTTGGAAACGAAAGATACTGTGGACCAAAATCTACGAGATCGGAAAGAAGGAGTTTTATTATAATTGTTGTAGTATAGTCTTTAGAATGTGGAATAGTTAACAAAATGTGGAAAGCTGATAAAAACGGTTGGAAAAAAGCTTTTTTTTGTCGATTGTCTCAATTGATATCTATCAGCAAGATTGATAATGACCATCCATTGTAAGGCCATTTTAAAGTATCAGCATAAACGTTAATTTAAGATTCTGAAAAGTTTTTTCTTAACAGTTAATAAGGATTTTGTTCCAACTTATCAAGTAGATTTAAGACTCTACAGCAATTCTCTGCATTGTATTTTTTGGCTATCGAAGATTTTTCAGTGCCCAAAAAATTGATTAGATCAAAAGATGCATTTAAAAAATTATATAGTTTTATGACATTTGCGAGTACTTCTTGAAAATATAGTTGTATAAATACGCTTTTTATGACAGGTTATTTCAACTACTTCGGTTAATTAATTTTATTACTTTTGAGATGAAATAATGTGCTTAAAGTTCGATGATCTTTGCTAATTGAACATCCCGAATAATTCGAAAAGATAATTTTAAGTGGTGTGTATGAAAATATGATATAAACTGTATGTCGTAAATATTTGGATGTTCATAGATTATTTTGAACACAATTAAAAGATTATCTTCAATTCAGATAAAAGAATAATAATCCCATGATGTATTGTTTGTCAAAAATTGACTTATTAAAAATGTAATAATTGGCTCAAAAGTATTTATTTGTTTGGCATTTTGCTTCAAATAAACAACTTTGGCTGTCGTATTTTACATAAAGCACGTCGAAGCACTTGATATTTTTTGCGCAATTCTCTTTGAAATTTTTCTACGTCCAGAATTTTTGCTGGTCCAGAGACTATTTGTTTTTATCCAGACATTTTTGCGCAGATGTCCCAGGACATGAAGATTTAAAGTGAGGAAATATTAATTTATTTAGATTTTCACTAATTTTGCACGGTTTTATGACCTTATGATCAATCGTACTTGTTTAAACGAAATCCTATCCTGTGTGATTTGTCCAACAATAGAATTTTTTGTGCTTATGTTTGATATTATCAAGGCAAGGCTTTGTCTCAACACGTTATAAGATTCTATCTAAAATTTAAACATTAATAAATTATTTGCTGCTTGAAAATCAACTTTTTGCGTTATATTTGAACGACTTTAACACATGATCGACCTGTATAAAAGTTTTAACAAATATATTTATGGAAAATAAGAAAATTTGACGTAGATTTGCTTTATTATTTTGCAGTTTGACTAAATCAAGTTTTCATGAGAGTTTGATGGTTCATAGAATTAAAATTTAATCAAATTTAAAGTTCAAGCCGCTTTTTTTCTCCGTTTTTCACGCCTCGTAATCGTGTATTCATTATTTATTTTGCTTATTTTCACCAAGTGTTGGATTTAATTCGGAATAATCCATTGTGGTCATTTCATTTACCTTTCAAATCTTGCTGTTTTTCAGAAATTGAATGTAATTCCTAATTCGCAATGATTTGATTTAATAGATTAATTTACCAAACACAGCTCTATTTTTTACCGTATTCTTTTTCTATTTGGAGCAAAATCCTATTCCATAATTTATATCTGTATATTTTGCTGATTCCTATCAACCTATGTTTATTGCCGTTTGATTTGTGACCAAATTACCGCCTCAAGATTTCCAGATGAAAAAAGAAATTTAAAATTGACCAGCGGTTGATTTTATTTTTTTTTCTGGATTATTTTGAGGCGTGCTCGAAACTGAAACTGATCAAATCGAAATACCTGGTTTGGATTATCCGTCTTATTTTGTTATTGCCTCAAATCAGGTTATAAATAAAAATAAACAAGCATAAAGCTCTTAGTTTATGGATGCTTGGATGCCACGATTGTTGACCTTTTTAATTGTTCTGTTCCACTGAGCTTCATTGCACATCTAATGTTTTTTCATATTTGATTGTTCTTTAGATATTTTACCGACGTGAAGTCTTTTTGACGTTAAACTACTGCCTTAAAATGACAAACATATCTTTTAATTTGCCAATTTATTCTATCAGTTTATGTATATTGTGAAAACAGCGAAAAGTTATCAACTTAATTGTTACTTCGAATAGAAATTTTACTTAGTATTCGAAAGAAGTATTTACTTCCTGAATTGTACCACCCAAATTCTCATTATTTGATCATTTAATCATTGCCATCTCGCTTGGAATATCCTTTGTTTCCCTAGATACAAATTATTCCTAGTTATTCTGTTGTTGACTCGGCGTTCCATTGAGTCTTCTATCCACCCGTCTATTTCAAAGTGTTCGCTAAACCGACAAGACGTTAATATTTTTGTTTCGAAACGATAACCAACATCTTCATAAGAGTTGACCCGTAGAGCTGCCATCATGTCAACAGAAGGGTTAAAATTGTTACACTACTTAACAGACATGACCTGAATGCAAAGCTGAAGTTGTGACCTGACCTGAAATTTATAATTCATGCCAATTGCCAGTTAGAACACCAACTGCAAGTTGAACAGCTGCTATTCTTCGGACATTAGTAGTCGATTAGCTAAATCGGGATTTGCGAGCTGTAAAATTTGGCCCGGATTGGTCAATCCGAATTCTACTGTGATTGGTCAATTCCATTTGTGAAGAATTGTCAGATTGGTTGATTTTGTACTGCTCCCTGATTGGTCAACAGCAGTTGTTCATATCTTTGCTGCAGTAGGAGTAGAAGAAAAGAAGAATAGAAGAGAAGGAGAATGAAGGTGTCAGTGGCATTTGGGGAGAAGAGAGTGGTCGTTCCCTGTAGAGATGGATCCCTCACTGTGAAGCAGTTGATAGATGAAGCCACTAGGAGATACAAGAAGGCACACTCCATCAAGGTACCATTCATTGATGTCTCTAGTTTTTAACTATCTCTGAGAGTTGCTAAGGATGGATCATGCGTCTGATTTTTCCCAATTGCAAGTTATTAAGAGTCGATAAACGTAGTGAATACTCTTAAATAGGTCTTGCTGATTTTTTTTCAGGAAAAGTTTTAAGTTTTGTTCAGGCTGAAATTTTGTGTAATTGTGTCTCCTCTGATTTTGTTTCTAGTTTCCAAATTGTAATTTGATTTTCAGATTTCATAGCCAAATATAAAGTTCACCTATTGATCCAGTTTTCTCAAATTAGGTTAATGTTATCGGAAAATCACCGCTCAATAATTGTTCTTGAATTTCAAAAAGCTTTAAGAGCATATATTTTTGTCTTCGAATTCGATTTTTTTCGGTTTCTCTTTTATAGTTTACCAACTGTCTGTTTGCGATATTTATTTTCTTAGAACTGTTTGTTATTGTGTCAAAAAACGTTTTAGGAAAGATTTCGGAACATTACATCAGTTGAGCTAAAAATGATCGATTGAAATTTTAAAATCCGCCCCTTCTCGTAAATCCCAGATCAGCATAAAGTATATCTTATGTTAATGTGGTTGATCGACAGCGATTATTCGCGACGTTTCCAATGCCATAAAGCGTGTTTTTTTCCTTTCAAATTGAAAACTAAATAATGTCCTCATTATGTATTTGTTTTTAATTTTTTTTTCGAAATTCTTCTCTTTTTTTTGAAAAGCTTAGATGCATGCCTTCTTTAATTGAATTTTTAATATAACCATGGACAGTGATGTCCATTTAAAAAATAAAAATTGAAATTTAAATTAAAATTGTTAAAGAAAATTCTAAAAATTGTTGGCATCTATTCAAATTTTTTTGAAACTATTTAAATTTTCCTTTAGAAATTTAAATTTTTCTTCAGTCTGTTTTTTAGCAGTTTTTCTGCCAATTTTGGGAAACCGCCGGAGCAATATAAATTTTTTTCAATTTAAATTGCTCGATTTAAATTAAAATTTGTCATTTAAATTGAGTGGGCTCAGTTTTACGTTTAAATAAATTAAAATTTAAATGAAAATTTCAAGTAATTTAATTTTTTTTAACGGACATCACTGACTATGGAACATTGTTATGTTAGCTTCGATTGCTCGGCAGCTTTCATTGTGAGAAGATGATGAATGCATATTTTTGTCAGTTCTTTTATAGGAAATGATTAAAAATGAAGTATCCTAGCCTTTTCAAACGTATGTTGGTGTTTAGATGGAAGCCTCAGCCGGTTCTCTGCACTCAGTGGATGCATTTAACTCCTCCCTCTCCCCTCCCCCTGAGCTGACAGTAGTGTACATATTAGAGAGCAGAGATGGAGCCATATTCGACATGGACGACAGAGTGTGCGATGTGGCAGATGACAAAGAGACGGTAAGAGATAAACAGCAAACAAGTTCAACTAGCCCAAAATATTGAATTCGTTTTTTTTTTGTGAAGCATTTGCTGGAATTGAGCATCGGAAAGAATTGAGTAGAAATGCTTTGGCATCGAAAGTAATGCAAAATATAGTATAGATGACATGTTCAAGCTATTTTTTTGGGCAGGATTCTTGAACCATTATATTCCGGAATGGTTTTCATCTAGCAAATGCAATCTGCCCGCTGGTTTTTCTGAAAAATCTGATTAGTCATTTTAATTGAGTTTGTGGGATAACATAGCAAAAAAAAAGCTCTTTCTGGTCTGATATTGATTTGAATTGATCGTTTCAACTGTGAATTTTTATAGCTGATTGCTGTCTACCATGAAATAATAGACCCCCTATCGCAGTTGGGAAGTGCAAGTGGGGGCAACGATGGAGGAGGGGGAGGGGGAGGGGACTGTGCCAGTTCAGGCGATGGGGGCAACAGTAGCGAACACTTCACCACCCCACACGAACACATGGAGAGAGAAGACAGCGGGACTGGACATTACTATTCTGGTAAGTTGAGCAAACTTAATCATTACCCTTGCGATAAGCAAGGGTATTGCAATCGGGTACTCGACTTTTGTCCCGTAAACAACTTTGTCCACAGGATTTTCACTTCTAGAGGATCTTTCATCTGACCTGCTTAATTTCCTGAAAATTAAATTAAAATTACTATCACTTAGCTAGTAATTAGTTCAAACACGTTTCAGATTGTAATTATCTTTTCAAATAAAATTCAATTTTTTTTTCGGCTTGCTTCATGGTTTTCGTCCTAGTTTCTGTCGTTTCATTTTCCGGTTTTTTTATATACGCCATTTTTTTGTCTGGGAGGGTTTTTATTGGTTTACTTTTTAAAGCATCGGTTTGGTTCCAATTTAAACAGTTCTCACTATAAATGAAACTTGACAAATTTGTTAATTTACCAAGTCTGAGTTTTTTTCGTTTTTCTAAAGGTTCAACCAGTTTTAGTTTATGTATTATCGACTAAGCCTACTTATTTTGCATAATTTTTAGTTCATAATGTATACGTTTGGGATTATGTGTTTCAGTTTGGATAGGTCGTAAAAAGTTCGATGAAAGTTTTTTTTTGACAACAGTAGTTTTGTTTTCGACTCAATAGGTTTCGACCTAAAGTTTGTCGCCTTTGTTGCCGCTCGGTAAATGATTTCCATTTTTTCAGGGCTATTTATCAACTTCATTTGATACAAATACGATGTTTTTGTAGCTCTAATTTTTTTAAGTTATTTTTTCAAGTCAATTTTTCAAGCATAATTTTTCAGTTTTTTTTACTTCAGTCTTTTTTAACACTATTTTGTAGTGCAATTTGTGTTTTTTTTTCGCATTGCAAGTGTTGTGAAGCTCCGCTTCGCCTCCGTTTTACCTATACATTTTGTAAGTTGTTCGTGTTCATTATTTGCTTTGCATACTCGGTGCGTTAAATGTTTAGTTTTTTGTTGATCTTAGCGGTGTGGTCAATCGTTTTCTGTCGATTGACCGCCCTGTTAATAGCAGAGCTCGAAGGTAAAGCCAGTTGGATTGCTTTCTCATCGGCCATTTTTTGAAGGCTGTTGACGGGTACCTGCTGAGTTTTGATAATTTGCTTCATGTGTTGCACCAACATTCAGGCGCCTGACCAGCCATGGAACACCTTGTGACTCTGGTCATTTCTTCAGTTACCAGGTTTTCTACCGGAGTGATTGCAGTCACCTTGCTTTTGTGATAGCGCGAACGTGACCAATATTTTTTAGCCATTCTTTGCTCATTTCTTTTTCGTGAGTTTGTGTCCCTCCATCTTCATGTAATTAGGTTCATTGTGTATAGCCTGCTATAATTAAATTGATAAAATGTTTCGATTTTTGTGTTGATTTTTGTTGCTGTTATTGTGGATTAAAGCCTGCTAATTGTGTTAAATGCTAATTTTTCGTTCAAAATTTTTAATCGAATCGACAAAGTGCTCGGTTTATTAAATGATTAACACTTCATACATGTCCGTAACACCCAGTGTGAAAGGATAATGTTGGTTAATTTGGCATAGAGTAAGTTGGCTTAGGTTAAATTTGTATGTAGGGTAAAATGGCATAGGCTAGATTGGAATAGTGTAAATTGTCCTGGCTACCCTAAATACATCCTTTATATTTTATTTAAGCGCTTGGAGATAAGTTAGAAGAAAAAATTTTAAAAAAAATTTTTCGGTAATTTCGTCAGTTTCTCAACCAAAAAACTTAATGGCAAAACTCAACCAAAAAACATAATGACATTAACATCAGACGAGCAGTCTTGTTTTTGGTTTTGAATGGTTTTCAAGTTTTAGATTTTCCAGTGGAATAGAAAAATTTGGATCTAAAAAGTGTTAATCATAGAAGATAATCGAAATTCGAAGACCTTTTAAGCCACTTATTTGCTTTGAGAAAGCCTCAAAAATATTCAGATTTTTTGGGCGTCTTGAGTGCTATGACACTTATCGAGCTCTATGATGGCTATATTCAAAAACTTTCAATTGCTTCATATAATTTGCTCAGATTTGCCTGTTAGTAATTCCGCGAAAAATTCTGTAACAGTTTGTCACTCAATTTGAAGGAACGGTGATCTTTGTTTAGATAATGGGGAGCAATTGTTGCAAATTGTCCCGACAGTTGAAACACGTTTGTACTTTCTGTAAACTTTGCAATATTTTTGTTTATATCAAATTGTGCTTTCGGAAGACTGCCATTCGAGGCTATTTGTTGTTAACTAATTGACCAGTTTGTAATATTATTTTGACCAAATTATCATTTTCTGATCAAATTGCTGTTTCGTTCTCGGTTAGTTTGACTTTTCCCTTCTAATACTCTATAATATTATAAACTATAATTATAATAAAAAGGCTACAATTCTTGACCACTACAAATGATTTTTGTCTTAAAACACATAATGAAAAGTGGTCGGATAAGATCATAGAATTAATGTTATGTACCATTATGAAGCTATTCATTAGATGGCGCGAACTCTGATTGCTATTTAACATCTCGCTGCTTTTACAATTTGAAAGCGGCAAAAATCAATTTTTCAATATGTTGAAGTGTTCCTCTTGATACCTATATTTAACAGTTTCTGAAACTGAGAAAAGGTTGGTGGTTTAACTAAACACTTTTTGACCTGCAGTTGCTAAAAAAACATTTGATCTTTTTTAGCTGTAACAAACAATCAAATGAAGTAACATACAAATAAAGTAAAAAATCAGTCAAATGAAATATAGTTTTTTTCTTCAATGATCAAATACTTTGTATACATATAATCGAATACTTTCAATTGAAATACTTGAAATCTCCTGATTGTTGGAAAGCATCTACTTGTATTTCTTTTTTTTTAATTATTTCACAAATTTATTTTTAATTATTTAATTTAATTTTAGAAGCACAGCCGCACGTCTATTCTGAAGTGTTTCGTGCGAAAAGTGAGGAAATTCTGAACAGAAACTCGGCAGTGCCATTTCTAGACGACATCGAAAACCAACTGGGTGCAAACAGAAACTACAACAGCAGAAACAACTACAACTACAGTCACAATAACACATCAAACCCTTCTAAGTCGCCTCATTTGAGTAGGAGAGAAAAAACGAGTGTGGCTCCATCGCGCAATATGGGCTCTTCGTCGCCAGATTTATCAATTACAGAAAATGAAGGTAAATTGGGCAACTGAAAATGAAACCAGCTTTACATTTTCATCACTTCAAAAATATTTATAATTTTTCAAATTAAATTAAGAAAGAATCAGTTTCATTTTTGTGTGTGTGTAGGTTGCAATATTGACGAAATACTCAGTGTTTTATTCTCCACACGAGTTTCGATTTTCTAAGTAGGTATTTTCGACGGGGTTGTTTTTGTAGCATCTGCAAGTGATTTATGCACTGGGCTCAAAATTAAACAAATATTTCACGGATATTTTTCGAAAAGTTGTGGGGCTTTGAAATTTGCAATTCTGCAGATTTTTGGGGAACTTAAGCGCTATTTTTGTTTAAATTCACTAGCGAGCGGAGGTTCAGCGCCGCATTTAGCGATAGTGTTCTTAGTTAGAGATATGTGTTGGTATCTGTAGCTGCATCATTGGTGGCTAGTGTAAGCGAATTATCAAGGGCCAAGCTGCGAGAACGTTGAGATCGCAGGTTCGAGTCCGACAGTTAGCAAACGTTTTTTATTTCAGTTCATAGTGCTGTTTTTTTTTGGGTTTTATTGTTGTGTTTGCAAACCGCAGATTAACCTGGCTCAGAAATTTTCACCAGTTAGATTGAGGCAAGCTGTTTAGTCTTATCAATACGTACTTAGACTGTGATGAAAATGTTGTTTTATATTGTTGCAACCATTGTTGCAAAATATGGAGTAATTTGAAAATATGGAGCTCGTTGGCGTATCCTTGTTGTTCGGAGTTTCGAAGAAAATGACGGAATATTTATGCTCGGTTTGGTTTTTCCCTAGACAAATTTCGACTTTTTAACTAGCAATTTTTGACGAAAGTTTTTTCCTATCATTAGAAGTTTATTGTGGTACGGAGCTCAAATTTTTTATAATTTTTTTTTCGATAAGTTATGGGGCTTAAAGATTGGCAATTTGGGAAAATTAACGCGCGACCAACTTCGTACTATTGATGCGTATTTAATCTGCCTTAGAAATCGTTTCATATTGAATTTAGGATCCTGGTTGTTAAATTTTTGAAAAATTCATCCTAGGATTCATCTTTAATTAAAAGGACGACTAGATATTGAAAGATTTTCAATGCCGTAGATCTTAAAATCTTAATATTTATATTTTAAACAAAATTTGTGCGATAGACAATAAATCCCAGTCGGGAAATTTGCCCTGATACAAGTAGTCGTGTGTTTATTTTAATCTGTCGTTTATTAAATTGCAGTTTCCATGATTTTGGCCATTTTTCAACATCATTGTCAACTGTTAACCTTTAATTTAGACAATACACAAACTACGAATGTAGAAATGAATGAAAAGGACGAGAAATTAGAAAGACTCAGTGAATCCCATTCAGAGGATAACTTTGACGACTCAAGAGACTCGAGACACAGTTCCCAGCTGGGCACAAGAGGCATCAAAAATTCGAGGTCGCACACAGATGGGGACTTGAAACTACTCAGTAATACAACAACAAATGACACATATCAGTATCAGAAGACGAAAGAGAAAGAGGCGGAAGATAATAGATCGAAAAAAGTGAGTGTTTCAAGATCAACTTGTTGGCTTGAGCACGTTTCTCAATTGAGTTCGAAAATATGTCAAATTTTTTTATAAAGTAATACAAATCGATTTTCGAAATTGACCAAATTAGTTTTTTACTGTTCTTAAAGGAAGAAAAGCGTTTTAGCTGTTGATGCCTGAAATTCAAATAGGTGAAAGATCGGTCTTGGGTTTTTAGGCAGCATTAGCCCAACCGCAGAGATTCCGACGAGGCACTTTTGGAATAGATGCTTCTCCTAGACAAACTGCCAACACCAACTCAGAAATGATAGACAGATGGATGACGAAACACATTATCAGAGACCAGTTGGAACAGAAAGCGCCCTCAACACCACACTCGCCCCCTTTTGTGTCCTCGCAGCTGAATAGCAGTTACTACGCGGAGGAGAACAAAATACACGAAAATATCGCCAGTAACAACCAGTTTAATCATAACAGTACTATGGAAAGTTACAAAAGCAATCACTCTTCTTTCCAGAATAACAGTACTGGAACTAATTTCAATAGTTCCAGAAATGTGACTTCTGAAAATGGAAGAAATGCAAGAATGAACTATGAAAACAACGGAAGTATGGAAAGAACGGTTCTTGAAGATCTTGAAGAAAGGCTGAAAGTTGACAATAATGAAAGCGGCGGTGAGGTATCAATACTAACACGTGAGCAGAAGAATAAACAGAAAATGTTCACAGCGCCAGCTACAGCAATCAATACAGGAGGTCAGTATTGTTTCAATCCAAAGAAAATTAAAAAATTAAAAATTCCAATACAAAAAGAATCAGGAAATTAAATTATTTCTCCGGAATTATTCAGAAATTTTACAGAAGCCTAAAAATTGATGTACGAAATTGACGTGAAGAGTTTTTTTATCAATTTGTTTGGCAAATTGTGATAGATTTGAAATGACTTTTTTAAATTCAGGTGTGGCTAATCTCTCTAGTCAAGGGAGTGGGAGTAATATTGGCCAGAGGGTGATTAGGATAGACAATCATGACGAGAACACTCCTCTGGGCATCCAAGTGGTCGCACAGTACGAGAAGAAACGACAGCCTGTGCTTAACAAGTTAGTTGTTTGTTATTTCACACAAAATATTACAATAGCCATCAGCATTATCATTATCATTAACTCGCAAATAAAAGTGCTCATTAATTAAAAGTGTTCACTTATTTCGAAGTTTTACTGTAGCATTGGAAATTGCATAGCATCTCTTTTCTGCTTTAATTGATGCAAGTGTTTGGAACCTAATAAGCATCCGTGGCTGAGTGCTTTTTGAGCTGCTTTTTGTCGTGTTGTCGCTAGTTTTGCGGAGCGAAGCTTCGCCTCTGTGTCAAGTTTTTAAATAAGATTATAAATGGCATCTATTGTGAAATTATCTCTCAAGTGCTAATGAGCGTAGAAAATTTGAACTCACTGAATATTTATACCTACGGTTTCGTTTAAGTCAGTGGTTTTCAATCTCGTAAGTTTCAGTAGACAGGTGTGAGTCAAGCAGCCGTTTTTTAAATATAATAAAGTTGATGTTTGATTGGAATGGCAGTCAACAACTTCCTATGTTTGCTAGTTCTGAAATGCCGCATAAAAAGTTTTTTTTCGCAAATATCAGTATTCAATATGCTTGTTTTCTTACTTTTCAGTATGCTGGACAGAATATTCATCAGGTGTTCATGAAAGAAGTCTAATGATTTTTATTGTATTTTTTGAGAAATTAGCCCTGTTATAGTTTTTTTGAGTTCATAATTTCTTTTTCAATTGTCTCTGTTGATTATGATAATTATGTTTGTTTGGCTGTTGTGTCAGGAATGGAGAGGTGGTTTCTTCGCAGCGTGAACTGAGGGAGCAGAGTGTGGGGGTGGGTCTGATGGTGAGACAGGTGAATGAGGGGGGCAGAGCACACTCGCAGAAACTACTCAGACCACAGGATGTCATCACAGAGATCAACGGACGATCTCTCTATGGACTCACTTTCGACCAGTAAGTACACGAACACAACGTATAGAAAAATAGCGGAGATATTAGGCAACTCTTTTTTTATGTGGTTTCAACCCTTTCCAGCATTTGAATTTTGATTATTTCGTTGCACGTGAATTTCAAGTTTTTCAAAATTTTCTGGTGAGTTTTTTTTTGTTTTAATCCGATTCGATGTCATTTGTCGCAAATGCCACATTACATAACAAATAGATGTTTCCGTGAATGTCTGAAAAAAGTGTAACAATTAAGGGATGTTTCTGGGACTCCTCAAAAACTTTTTTATATCAGAAATCAAAAGCTTATTCATTTATATACTTGAAATATGCGAGGATATCAAAAATCCAGTTGGCCCATTCATTTGATGCATTGAAAAAAACCTCAATATATTTTTATTTTAGTCAAGAGTTAAAATATATGTGGCGTTCAAAGATGAGAGAAAGTATGCTTCCATTTAATTATCTTAAAGGGTCAATAATATATGGATACAAATTTTCTATCTAATACTTAAAGTATAACGTTTCGTCAAGTTCCTTTGATGACGTTTAGTTTGGGAAGCAAGAGAATTCGTGGAGTAAATATTTGTATATACTTTGAGACAGTTGGCTCAGAGCAATACTCCTCCGAGAGCTATCAGCCTTTAAACAATGGGAAAACTTGTTAAGTAGTTATCTATCTGCCATTAGTGTTTTAACTCCTTTATAAGAGGCTGGATAGTCCTTAAGTATGGATAGTCCTTCGTATAGTAGAGTATACAAAAGTGAAGTTCTCCTCAATTTAAGGTCTCAAAGTGTGTTCAAATCAGCACTGCAGGCACCTTCCTTAACACTGAGAATCGTGACTAATCACACTGTGGGGATGAGTGGTGACGTCATAGGTGGAAATGGAGGAGACCTGTCCAGTGCATCTATTTCGATCACGCCTGCGAGTAGTACTGCCACAGATCCGCCAGTGACTGGCGATGGAACGAGGCTGCAACCACCAGCACAGAACAGGTAGATTACAAGGCTTGAATTTGTTGGTAGAAAAAAAACTTGATTCTAAAAATCTTATTTTGAAGATTTTATTTTTTTCCCGAAAAAACCAAAAAATTCTCGAAACCCTTTTTTGTTTCTAATTGAAGATGCAATTACGCTGTCATTTAGCCATATCTCAAGGGTTGATCTGGCAACTTTTTATGTCAGTCAGGCTGCAAGCCCTTGAATCACAATCCAAGTATACACTTTCAATTGTCTGTAATTTTGTTGTGTCTGTAATTTTGCTGTACAGTAACTTAGTCAACTTGCCGGAAATTTTGACAATTTGGTTTTATGTGTAGATTCTTCTTTCCATCACCCGACCGCAACCAGCAAAACAACAACAACAACAACAGCCAAAACCAAACTACAACATCAGCAACATTGAACAACAATCAGCTGACATCCTCAACCCTCCCACGTGCAGCCCAGACTAGAAGGCAGATGCAAATAGAAGCGCAGCAGGCCACGCCCATTGGCCACTCTACCCCTCCCCCTGTGGACCAGCAGCAGCAGAATAGGACATTCCACTTCGACAGTCCACTGTCTCTGATGAGCAGAGCCAACACGAAGAAGATAGGACGCAAGATTAAAGTGCAATTGACTAAAGGTCAGTTCAAGTTACTATTAAATGATGAAAAAAGAAAAAAAAGATATTATTACGAGTACAAACGAGTACCTAACATGCTACCTACAAAATCAAACAAAAACTGTCAACAAAAGATCAAAAGTCATTTATCTAGGGAATATATTTAAGGGATAGTGTATTCCTTAAATTGCTTAAGGGGACTCACCATTAGTTAGTGATAAGAGGGAGAGAGGTTACGATTACCATAAGATTTTAATGACGAGTTTGGCTCAACATAACTCAGTTTTTGTGTTTTTTTTCTCTGTGATTTTTTCTAAAAGTTGAAAGACGGAGCATCAAACAATGACAGATTGACAAACTCGTGTCAGCGGTATTCGATTTGAAAACTTTTATTTGAAAAGTAAGAGTGTATAGTGTGTTTTCTACAGGTGCAGATGGCCTTGGCTTCAGTTTGACAGCGAGAGACAATTCGGGTCCGTCCAATGCCAATTCGCCCGTGTATGTGAAGAAGATACTGCCCAAAGGAGCCGCCATTCAGGATGGTAAGTAGAAATTAATTGTGTGTTTATAGATTAGTTATCATTTCAAATACGGGAGAGAATAATCTCGAAAATTGGGTTCTTGTTTTGCATAATATATTTTGTAACTTTGTCCATTCGAAGTATCACAAAAGATTTTTCATTTCTAAGTGTAAAGTTATAGAAAAGTATTTTTTTTGGTTTCAATGAAAAGTAGAAAACTGAAATTTAGAAGCTAATCGAAATTCTCGAATTCAATGCCGCGGATTCTTTTAGTTAACCAGGAGATCTTTTTCCATGGCTTCATGTGCCCTTTTTGTCGAGCAAACTTTTCTTTTTTCTAGAGATCTATGTTCTGGCGTTTTGTTTGTAGCTTTTATGTGCAGCAAGTTCCCTCCTCTGTGTTCTATGTTGTCTTCTGTTGTGTTGTGTAGTACATGGTGTTAACTGTGTTGTGTGTAGGTCGTCTGGTGGAGGGAGATCGGATGCTGGAGGTGAATGGCACAGTGCTCACTGGCATGAGTCAGAGTGAAGTGGTCTCCTTCCTCAGAAGCATCCCTCAGGGACACACTGCACACATTCTAGTGTCCAGACAGGAGATAGAAGACATGCCCAGACAAATGGTAAGAGGGAGATGAAACTTCTATGTAGCCATACGATACAATTAGGGGACCACGTGAAACTTCTGGACATGCAAAATGACATAGAGTCGCTGAAAAAGCTTCACTTAGCAGATTAACTCTAGATATTGTGGAAATAATACGAACTGGATTATAATTATACGCGTTTTCAATTGTGTTCTGCGAATGGTCATACGAATAAACGAAACTTATAGGATTGCAACAGCGAAAGCTCTTTCATACTCACAAGGGCCTTCCACGCTTTGCTTGACTCCCTTCCAAACTGGGAAAGCTCAGAGAGTAACAGTAGTTGTTGCGAAGACAAGGTTTGCTTAAATAATGCTTAAGTTATGTTTCATTGCATATAACGAATGCCGAGTTGGGTGCATATGTTCTTGTAAGGGTGTAGATATTTTTCATTTTTCTTGGTTACGGTATCTAATGACATTTAACACGCTTTGCTTTCCTGCTGTTCTTGTTTGCTCAATTGATTTTCCTTGTCAAACGATTCAAACCCAGTCCAATTATCGATCAAAATCCCGTCACCTCGCATAAGGTAAAAATGCCGAGCAGTTTAGAATGCGATAAATTGTAAGCTATTGCGACTTGAAGTGTTCCGAAATGTTTCAACTGAAGTGTGTAAGGGTTTCAGAGGCGGTTGAAGAAGGAGGAGGCTAAACCTAGCCGAAGGTTGCCTCTTAATTACAGACGGGTGGGTTCATTGTTAGAAGAACTCAATCATATCCTCCAATTTAATTCACCATAATATATTTTTTTCAATCACGTTCACATTTTTTTGATGACTCATGAAATAATTCAGTGCAAACTGAGAGGCTGTGGTGCATGTATTATTCAATGGGTTTATTGAAAAAGCCACCAGTTTGACTGAAACTGAGAAGCGGTTTGATTTTACACTGTTTATAAATTACACCAACAAGGTTTATAAATTACACCAAGAGTATTAATAAATTACACTGGTTCTGGGATCATTTTCTGTTTAAAATTTTGTGGCATTTTGATCTGTTTTTATTTAAAAAGAAATTAATTCTGATTAATTTTAGTTTTTAGAATAAGGATGGGGTTCATAAGTCATCAAATATAACTTCACTTTGGGTTGATTCGTCATTCCATTGTTCTAGTCTGAATCGGAGTCTCATCGGGATTCGAACCTGCTACCTCAGCACCACTTCACCGACTCAGCTGTGACAGACGACCCAACAATAAGCAGAACAAGGCTCAGCTTCATAATAGCACTGAACGACACAGGAAGTGCTGGCTTGGGAATAAGTGTGAAGGGGAGGGCGCAGAAGGATCTGACCAGCGGGGTGTCCAGTGACACTGGCGTGTTTGTCAAGAATGTCATCAATGGGGGAGCGGCGTGGAAGGTGAGGCTATTTCAGCCCACTAAGTTCATAAAAACACAATTCTATCACTGATATGTGGTAACTTGAAAAAGTCGTTTTCAGCTCCAGATAAATGGAATCAATTGCTTTAATTTTTCTCATTGAATAGCTCTCGGCATAAAAATGAGTGGCATTTTGGCTTAAATGAAATGTTTTCAATCGGGTTAAAAGTTTCAACTACTTAAGTATTTCAACCAAAATGAAAAATGATCAAATTAAAGGATCATGGTATAATTGAAAGAAAGTATGATGAAATTGAATACCTGGTCTTTGTCTTGATTTTTGCGAAATTCTGAAGTAGCGTTTGATGTTTGATTGCAGGATGGGCGACTGAAGGTGCATGACCAGCTGTTAAGTGTGAATGGACAGTCGTTGGAATGTATGGACAACAGGGAGGCCATAGATGTGCTAAAGAATGCACTCCTACAACATGGCAAGAGTGGACAAGCAAGCGTTAGTTAATTTTCTCTCGCAACTCGGCAAATTGCACAAAAATTTTTCAGAATAAGCATCAGTCATAAGATTACCTTAATGTATCTGAGCTTTTAGTCCAGTTGATTCGATTAAAAAACCCTAAGTAATAGTACTAGTATGGTGTGTTCTAGTTGCGCATCACAGTGATGAGACTGGAGAGTACATCAGATGAAATGGATAGACCGAATTCACTTTGGGCCGAAAACAAGTAAGTTGATACATTTTCCGGTAGATTCAAAAATTTGTTTCAAAATGAGATTCTTTTGTACATTTGAGTCTGTTTTCTTAAGAACTGCAGATTTGATGCAGTCTGAATATGATTTTTTATTAGCTGATAACTTAAATCACTACTATTGAATTTTTGACTGATTTTTTAGAGCAGCTTTCAACTCATTTCGATCATTATGGTTTTTATTTCGATTGGTCATTTCAGCCAGCAAGATCCGAACTTGAGTCTAAGTGACCACACAAACACTCCTCGTACCGGAGACGAAGCTGAAGTCATGAATGAAGTGACAGGAAGAGGCGGAGGAGGGTTCTCGAGGGACTCTGCCCACAGACGGAGTCTAAGTGAGAAGAGGACGGGGGGAGGGGGGAAGACGAGGGATGCGAATGAACTGGCATTCTACAGGGAGAGAATCAAACCACTCAAGGATGGTGAGTTGACACTTTTATTGGTGTGACTTTGCAGCATCATAATAGAAATTGAGGAGAACATTTTAGAAAAACTGTAAACGTAGGACTTAGTTGTGATTCTGTGTTTTGAATCTGAAACTCAGGATTTGAGTAAGCCACAAGATTTTTGACAGTATGATATGAAACCTAGTTGTATAAGTGTATGTAAAAATCTGCCGTTAATTGAACGAAGCCGAGAGAATATGTGTATAAATTAACAAATGTCTTACAAGCTGCCCTCGGATCCCTGGCAGTTCCTAAGAGCAGACTGTCTCGCTCTAACTCGTACGACATCCTAACATCCACAAATCCTCTCTTTTTACCCAATGAAGAGAGCAATTATAACAACATAACTAGTGGCACTAGCATGACCATGAATAGAAAAAGGTCCACTAATCCGAAGTGGCCTGGTAGTACTAACGAGAGAGATCATACTGCTTATAACTCCTCTTCGAAGGGTGCTGGGAAAGATAGTAAAGGTGCAGAGAGTGATGCTAAATGGAGGCAGGAGTTCTACAGGAATCACAATCGCATCAGATACTACAGTAGGTTTCGATCGGGCTCCAAAAGCGACTATTATATTGCACGTTTGTTAATATAATCATTTGCATCGGTTGCGATATTTTTGACTTATGTTGACAGCTAAGTTGTTGACAGCTAAGTTTGACTGATGTTGACAGCTAAGTTCAAAAAGTACCCAGTGGCTCTTATCAGTTAGAAAATATGACAGAAGGAATTTAATGAAAAACATCACAGCATTTTCTGCAAAGAGATAAACAGTTTGTTTCGAAACTTTGAATCGTTGATATAAATTAGGATACAGTTGAACTTACTGGGAAGACTGTAAAACTCATCTTAGTTTTTGTGTTCTGCACTTAGCTTTTCCTTTTATGTTTGTTCATCTGAGAAGTTTTGATTTCTATCGGCGTTAGCTTCATTTTTCTGACCTTTTCTTAAGAAGTGGTGTGAGCTTAAGAGGTTGTTCTATGAGTGTTTCAGGGCGTCATCGGAATTTTGGGTAATCTGTTTGAATGCTGTTTTTTGATAAAGATAGATCTCTTGCCTTTGAACGGTTTAGTTTATTCAATTCTATTCTGTTTTCGCCCAGCAAAGTTAAAAGGAAAAGAAGCAACTTTGTTTTGACTTGTCAATGACCGTTCTTAAGTTGTTGTGTAATCGGCGTCTACCAAAGGCACTTTCGATGAAATAAAATCCATTTTTTGATTTTTTTTTCCAGCAGCCTACAAGGCATCAACCAAGAACCACCCAGCGCCTGGCCAGCTATCCAAAATGAAATCGGCCTCTTTAGAAAGCATTGGGGGATTAGTACAGCAGAATCACTACCAACATGACAACTACTACAGAAACCCAACTAAACTAAACACAATGGGTAATGGATCTTCAGTTGTCAGTACTGGGAATCCTCGATTACAGCAACATAACCAACATCAACAAGAGCCTCAGAATATGCAACAACAGTATTACGCCAATGCTAATGAAGTGCACAACAGCAATAGTCAACAACAACAACAACAACAACTGATGAGACGACCTAGCAGTGGGTCCTCAGATTACTACAACGGAATGATGGTGTCCAATATCCCCCCTCCTGTTCCGATGCGCAGACTGAACCCACCGGCGGGGTCAATAGGCAGTGGGGGTGAGTTGACGGTGACGGGTGTTCAAGGACAGACACAACAACAGATGGGATTTGTAGGGGCTTTGAATAGAACAGCCGGTGAGTTTTTGACTTTCTCTCGCCTATTACACTTGCGAAGCAAACTGTATTAGTACGAACTATCTTTTTTCCCAAGCTAAGTTGCAAATAAAAGTGTTACTTTTGGTGGCACTTTTGAATCGGTAGGATGCGGTAGCAGTATTATGGCATAGGTGCTTTGACAACATTTGATTAACTAAAAGTTTATGCATTTTTAATTCATCAAATGAACCGAAAAAAAGTTATTGGTTTCAAACAGCGTTCCAATGATAACAAGCTCAATTTCAGAAGTTTTCCAATTCAATGTATTGCGCAATTTTTTGAAATGCATAATTTATACATAATTTGGCTTTATCCTTTCCAATTTATTACATCCAAAGTTTGTATTTGATGCTACTTTTGCTGCATCGAATTGGCAATTTATTAGCACACGTAGAAGCGTTATGGGCGGCCAGTTTTTGGAGCATCCGCGGCTGAGTAGTCAGTGCGTGAGATTCAAATATGCTAGGTCGAAGATTCGAATCCGACACGTAGCCGAGTTTTTGCTAATTCGAGGCCTATTTCTACTTTTTCTTCTTTCACTTGATAGAGCTGCTTTTGGGTCGTGCTCTCGCAAGTTTTTGCGAAGCGTAGCTTTGCCTCTGTGTAAATCTCTCCGATTCATCTATAAAAAATCACCAGCGGTTTTAGAAGGAGGTGGACTGTAATTTTGGCCTGTTTTTTTTTCTCAAAAACTTGCATGCGGCGCAGAAAATTTGGTTAAAATGGGGTCTTTATAATGATTTGGGAGAGCTCAGAAAATCAATTTGGTCGACCTAAAAAAAGGTCAACAAATTTTTGGACTTTTTTTAAAATTGGGCCCCCAATCTAGAAAATCCTAGATCCGCCCCTGTGAAAGTTTGATATTTAAAGTTCAATGAATAATCTCTATAAATATTGTCATCTTGCTGAAAGTGTAAAACAACGAAGTGATTTTTTTCATTTGTTCTTTTTTGCTGCAAAAAGTCTTTAACTTCTCTAATAATTACAGATTTACATCCATACAGTGATTGTCATTTAAAAAAATAAAGTAGAAGTTAAAATTGTTCAAGAAAATTATTAAGAGTCGTTGAACATAGCTCAGACTCTTACATAAGTCTCTTTTTTTTCAGGAAAAGTCTTAAATTGCTCTAATAACAAACGTTCAAGTTCATTTGCTGGAAGTTAGTTAAGTGCACTCTCCAATTTTGAAAGCCAAATTGGCGCGAAAAAAAACGTGATCGATTTATAGTTTCAAAAGTGGAATTTAATTCTTAGATTTCCCAGCGGATTAAAAACTTTTCCTGAAACTCCAGCTATCTCAAATTTAGTTTGTTGTATCGAAAAAGTGTAGAGAATAAATTGTCCTTGAAATTCAAAGAGCTTTAAGCTGATATTTGTTTCTTCGAAATTTGATAGTTGAAAAAAAAAAGTTGTTTTTCGGGTTCCTTGTTGTTATACAGTGTCCCAACCCTCTGTTGGCTAAGTTTTAGAATTACTTCACGGTTAGCTAAAAGGGGTTATTTTTGCGCAGAAAAAGTTGTCTATTTGTTGTTTCCGGAATTTATTATTATTATGATATAGAATCTTAAAATTCAGTGAAATTCAGAACCTAAGTTAACATGTTAATTACTGAATCTGGTTCAGGAGATGGCGCTGATATATTAAATACTGACCTGGCGAGGACATTCGGGGATCCAACAATGACCTCGAAGGAGCAGAACAAGATGAAGAACAGCAAAAGTGCAACTGGCATCTTCCGAAACCTATTCAGGTTAGTTTGCATTAGAATAGTGTTCACACTTGCAATTTGCGATTGTCTTCTGAGCTGAAACTGAGATATTAACTCTCAATAAATTTTTCTACTCGAACTGATTAGTTTTCTTATCTTTTTGATCGACTCTTAGTTCAAAAATATTGTTTTTCAACAGTCGAACAACAATTATCGACTATTGGGCGACGTTAGATTCATCATGAAGTGACATGGGCAGCTGCCTTGTCTATCAGTAACGTCTGTGGTTAAGTCATAATTTTTTTTCAGTTTCCTCTTTGACACTTTCCAGCTTTCTGTTGGCTATTGATTAACCGCGTATTGTAATAGTATTGTATCTTGACTAACTTCCTCTGGTTATTAGCTCCTCTCCCCCGCCCTACAAGGAGCACAGAAGTGTCTCTAGAGACGAAGTGCTAGCCTTGACTATGTCACCTCAAGTATCTCATGGTCAAGGTCATAATAGAGACCATGACAGGGGTCATAGGTACAGGTCACCCAATAGACCCTCGAGACCACCGCCTGTTGCCGCCCCACGGTAGGTACTAAATAAGTAAATGCGTGTCATGATTGGGTTGTAGCAGAAATTATAAGCAGCTTATGAGCAAGAAATGATTAGCTTATAATTGTAGTTGACCAGTTATACGCATGGCAGATTGACAATCCTGGTTTTCGAAATATGGGGTGGGAAAACTGTGCTTGATCTTATATTTAATCTATATATTGCTTCATACCCAGTTGATATTGTATATATTCATTTCTATTTTGAGATCATGCTCATCGGCAGGGATAGCTATATCATTTCAAAATGCAGGCAATTTTTTTTTGTAAAGTTGAGAAAAACACAGTTTTAGACATTATCTGAAAAAGACCGCCCCAATTCCTAGAATGGGAGTTTATAACCCCTCCCAAACCCCCTCATATGTTACTACTCACGGATTCATTACTAAGCAAATGTAGAGGAATGAATGATTCGAGGAGTATATGGATAATAATCTGCATCAAATGAGTTCGATACAATCTTTTTTGTGCTCTCATTCCGTCCTTTCGTCTTTTTTCTTTCTCTGCTTCACAATCCTTCCTGTGCTTCAAAACTGAGCTTATCTTTCCATATTTATGTATCACTTCTGTTCACATGAAACCAATACACCTAGAATAAAAATATATAAGACTTTCCTGGGAAAGTTAGCTGGCCTCAAATATGCCAGAGTTTCTGCTTTGAAAAATGGATTTCGGAATTAAATATTCCCTGGGATCTAAAATAGTGCAATTGTTTTGAAAGGACTATGAAGCCCTCAGATTCACGTGTTTCCATGTTATCTGACCTTTCTTCATCTCCGACATCGGAATTCAATTACTCAGTGTTTAGAAATGTAGCCACAAGAACTTTTTCCTTTGCCACTTCGATAGTTATATGTGGCTTAGTTGTGACTTTCTAAATGTCTAGTTTGTTTTTTAGAAACCACAAGAAACAGGACAAGGATAAATCTTCTCTTCTAAGCAGTGCAGCCAACGCCAATGGAAACCGATCGACCAGTGCCCCCCTCCGCCCCCAAAGTGCAATGCCCCCCATCACAGCCCCCCACAGATTCAGTACCCAATCTAATACCAGCAGCACCTCCCAGAACAGCCAGCAAGTGGGGATGACCCAAAGCTATGGGGTAAATGGCGCGGCGGGAGTTCAGTATCAGAACAATAATGGCCAGCTTCAGCAGCCACGGCATCAGTTTTATGCCCATCATAACTTGAGTTCAGCTGTGGCTAGGTGGGTAATTTTGGCGATTTTCCTTAGAGTTGTTGTTGAGAAAGATTGGCATTATTCTACTACGCGTGTTTTCGAAATTTTTTATCATCTTGAACACACATTCTACTCTTATTTTGAGAATTTCTTTCAGGTTCTCATACGCTATGCTTTTTTCTTAAATCTTTTCATTTTCTCCTTGGTAAAGTGTCTTTCAATCTGACTGAGTGTTTGTTGTGTTTGTTTCTTCAGCAGAGTGGCGTCCATTGAGGTCTGTTCTGTTTTTATTCTATTCGCTTTCTCTTCTGTCTATCCCAACTATTTTAATGTTCTGCTTTCCTTTTTAATTTATCTTATTAAACTGCACCCACTTGTAGATGGTACATTGCAATCAAACATACATACAGTGATATTGCACAGAAACTGCCTTTCTCTGTAGAATTTCAGATTACATACTGGATATACTGATCTGTTCTTGTCATTGGGTTTCTAAAAAAGAGGAATCGATCGGAATCTTTTGAATATCATCTGTCTAACAAATGATCTAAAGTAGCTGAAGCTTTTCCCTAGCACTTATATCTATACTCAGGGGCGATCTAGGATTTTCTCGAGTGGGCGGATTTTCAAAAAACTTTTAATTGTTTTGTCGAACTTTTTTTAGGTCAGCCAAATTGATTTTCTGAGCTCTCTTAAAGCACTAGAATGACATTGTTTTGGCCATACTTTTAGCGCCGCAGGAAAAACTTTGAAAAAAAAACAGTCCAAAAAGGCGTTTTTTGGCACTTTTTGGAAAATTTCCTGCGCTTTCCCCTCAAAATTAGTAATAGTAAATATTACCCCCCCCCACCAATCCGCCCCTGTCTATACTACTCTGCCCCTGAGTTTCAAAATGATCTTGCTTTCGCTTTTGGCTGTAAAATTTTTATTATTATGATTTTTAAAAATGCGAAAATTGAAATAGCTGATAAAAAACATCTCACTTGGTATCAACTAGACGTTTTTTTTAGCTCAAAATTGTGTAGTAAAATTTCGGTCCATAATTTGATCTGTTTTAGCCATGGAGACGCTAGTCAACACCTCAACACGAACAGTCTGAACAGGAGCCCAAAACAATATCAACAACAACCACCTCGTCATCAGAATATACAACAGGTCAATTTACGAATGCCCTCAACTTCGCCTTCAGACGAACAAAAAAGACATTCAAGCCATGAATTTGAAGAACACTACGGGAATTTTATGAATATGCGCGCAAATAATCAAAGAAATGTTTTCACAACTGCAACCGGAAATCATGCAAATAATGATCGCAAGCAGTTCCCTAATTCTTCGGAGATTTCGAAACAAAGGCTGAGTTTACACAGTGAACAAATGAGTTTTTCAAGATCTGCGTCAACACACGAAAGAGATGATAGTAATGTGTCGTTTAATTTTGACCCGAATGCGCAGTTTAGAACGTCGTCACCACAACAGCAGAATGGCGTTCAGACGTGAGTTAAAGAATTGTGGGGAACTATTGGTGTGGCTCAAAATATTGCTTTTCTGAGCTATGTTAACTGAAACCCCGGTAGTTAAAATTTTTTTTAAAAAATTTTGATTGATATTTCGATTCACGAAAACTGGTTAGATGAATAGATTCTGAAACCGCTAAGCTGAAATATTAAAGTACTTTAGATTAAGAACTTACCCTACAATTTTTTGCTTGCAACTTTTCTGGTTCGGGCAAGGCAGTTTTTTAGCTATTATTATAGGGCAAAATTATAGCATGAATAAGGCATAAAGAGAAGGTAGATGTCTAACACTATTTAGCAATTCTGGTCATTCAGCGCGCTTCTGTTCTGACCATGTCGAAAGCGAAGATAATCTCACAAAACAGACTGGTCAATTAGTCCACAAATTGATTGCCAAAGAGCAGTACAAGTATGGTAGGTTGAACTGAAATATGCTCAATTGGAATACTAATTGCGGCCAATCATAATTCAGAAGGCAGCAAAGCATCAGTAGCTGAATTAAACCGAGTTTAATAATCATAATGCACCAGGTCATATTCAAAATTACTTCACGAACTCACACCAGATAAAAATTATTCAGTTAATTATTCAGCCTCATTTAATTTTCATCATTTTGGCACCAATTTACTGCGTATCAATTGAAATCAAACTGCAGCTGAGTACTCGATACGTCAGTTTTAAAAACGTGTTCTGTGAGCTTTAATAAACAAATATTTAGAATTGTTTTTGGAATATTGAGGATCATTATTTGGGTGACATCATGCGTTTTATTTAAGAATTAAGAGAAATTCCACCTGATATTGATGGACATGTTTAGGTCCAGTGTGGGTGTGAGTTTTTCCAGAGACAACGCACTCTACGCCGGAAGTTATGCAACACTTCCCAGTCATCCCAGAATAGATTACAAAGGTAACTATCTCGTTCGCTTATTGTTTGAAGTAATTACAACTATTGTAGCAGCAAATGTCTTATCTGGAACTATCATTTTGGTCTTCATACTTTTGGGGAAATCTAGTTCCATATATATATATGGTTTTCGAGATTGTTTTGTGAGAATTGCGCTTTGCCTCGGTTTATTTAAGAGATTCTGAATTCCATTTTGATTTCATTTTTAACAAAATCTTCAATTGTAGTCAAAAGCGCGTTTTTTTGCAAGATATACTTATGGGAATGTATTTATGCACTTTGCTTTAGAGATTTTTGAAATGGGAAATTTTTCATGCTTGGGGAATTAATGGAAGCAATAATCAGTTTTGCTATTTAGGAAGCCCGATTAAAAAAGCTCAAATTACCCGATCAACAAACAGAAAGCCCCTGCACATTATCAGACGTTCGGGTAGTCCAGTGACATACGGAACCAAAGACGATGTCATAAATTACGAAACTGATCATAGAAGAATAAATGTAGTCAATTTGAAACACCAGCAGCAAAATACTTCAATGCTCAGCAATGAGGAGAGGATTTCAAATGCAAGCAGTGAGCTAAACAGTGAGTCGCCTTCGAAAGAAGATCCATATGGTGGCAATTTCAACACTGCAGTTGATATGCGATATCCAAATCAGGGATGGAAAAACAGCCAAGCAAATTTACCTGAATCTAATTCGAGGCCAAATAACGTGAACAACGTATGGAATAGAAATATTTCAAGGCAAAACGGAATTTGTGACAACTCGACAAGACATAATTCAAATTTTGATTCAGATGTTGATTCAAGTAAAAATGGGATATTTTATGGAACTCAGAGTTCGCCCGATCCCAAAAATGCGAGAAGATCGAATAATTCAATTGAAGGAAATTATCAAGCATTTGTTGGAAGCATCAATCTGCAAATGCACTCAGGCAAATCAAATGATGTGGTGATCTAAACAGCCCTTTGATTTCACTTTCAAAAGTTGATTTTGTGTGTTAAGTTATTCTTGCGCATGTTGAAAATGCTTTATAATATGAAGCTTCATTAAATGAATCAAGCTATTTGATGCTTTGTTTCAAAAAATAGAAAAGGCGCTAAAATACGTTTATCAACTTCAAACATACCCAATTATGTGCCCGCAATAATCTTGATTTGACCTCATTTCTTTCAGGCGTTTTAAAAACGTATTCAAGATCCCTGAAAGCAAGATTTTGTATAATTGAATTGCCTTCCAAAAAATATCATTCCCAGAACAAATATTTATGCCGATGAAAAACGCAGTATGTGTGTTTCGTTATCATTTTGAGTTTTTAGTTACTATTTAATGATTGATACATAGATTAATCAAATTTGGAAGATCTATTTTTTCCTTCTATTTTTATATTGTCAAATAATAGAATGCAAACCTCTCTACTTTTCCTTTATATTTTAGTTTACCAATTTTTATCTGGCTCTGTGAACATCAATTGAATATATTTTGTCGACGCTGATGTTTGATTTTATGTAATCTTGGATTATGACAACTAATAAATAGTTTTTGTTCCAATATGAACCAATATTGTCGTTCCCTATATATTCTTGCAGAATAATTCAAAATTTCTTCTCCAATCTATTTCAATCGAGTTGCTGAGTCGTATAAGGAACATCAAAATTCACAAATAGTCTGGTTTGCTCCTCACAAGAGTATCTGAATCATGAAATATGGTTGAATTTTCTAGTGCGTTCTTTTGTGATATTTTTGTTCTTCTGATCAGCAAGGATTTTGCAATCGGGTACTAGACATTTTCCCTTAAATAACTTTTTTCACAGAATGGTCAATTTAAGAATTTAGAAATGGTAAAATTACTAATGCACCATCTGCATTCTCCTACATGTGTTCAGCTACCTGTACCGCCCATACCCGTACCTGGCAAACTCCTCAATCTGGTTTATTTTATCGAAAAAGAAGTACCAATCATAATATGTTCGTGAAATTCAAAAATCTTTACGGACATCTCTTTTTTCTGCCAGTCGGCTAGATTTTTTGTCATTTGCTGTCTAGCCTATATTTCTTGCTGATCAAAAGAACAAAAATATCATGAAAGAACGCACTAGAAAATTTAACCATATTTCATGATTCAGATATTCTTGTGAGGAGCAAACCAAACTATTTGTGAATTTTGTTTTTCCTTTGTAAGCCTTTATCCTTGATTAAAAAGCGTTATCTGCTATCATATCAGTAACTACTTTAAAGAAATAGGAGTTTTGCTCACAATTTTGAGATTTTATTGTTATAAAACGTCAAATTTAGTCAATGTTTTCTCGTAGACTTTTTTTTATCGTTCTGAATAGTATATCAACTTTTTGAGTTAATTTTAAGCATTGTAAAAACATTTTACATTTTAAACCTTCTTAACGTTTTCTTAATTGAAGAAAAATATGAAATAGATAACTGTCATTTTTTGGCCCGCGCTTGTTATAAGTAATTTGGCGTCTTAGTTCTCGGTATATCAATATGTTTTCTGTTTTTTGAAATATTCATTTTCGGACTATCGTGTGTCTGCTTATTTAGTTGTCTCAGGCTTCCCAGAATGCTTTTTTCTCGATAAGTAAGCTATTTAAAACATTGAAAACTTTTTTGTGCAGCTTAAGATACTAAATAATTTCAGCTTCATGTTTTTTTTGCATCTAATGTTTTTTTTTCGGTTTATATAGTGTCGAATTACATCAATTTATTTGCCTCCTATTATGTCGTTTGAAAGGCAGAGGTAGATTCTTGTTAGACTCGGGGTAGTTTCAAAAATCAGGATAGCTTCGACTTTTTTCGAACAATTTTTTTGCTGGGTCAACGGGCGTCTAACCAAATTCCGTCTGCATACTTACCTCTCAACAAATTTTGTCTTAATGCATATTTAATTCAGGCTATTGTGTTTCGCGACAGCTCTTTATCGAATTGACTTTTATTTAAGACAAACGTATAATTATTTTGGTTGATTTTTTTCTGTATTTTTCAAATTTTAATGAACGCAGTCAATACAGTTATAAAGGACGTGATTTTTTTTGAAGGGCAATTTGACTTTTCGCGGGATTTCATTTCTGATTTCGTTATACGTTCAGTTCATTTCGCTTCTTAAAAGGCAGGCAAACTTCTATCGAGCTCATCTACCCCCGAAGAAAGCTCATTTAGAGTCGAGTGTGGTATTTTGTTAAAGCCATATTGATCGTGATTCCGATTCCAAAAAAGTTGGTCTCTTTAAATTCAGTTTTCAGACAAAATTATACAAAAGTTGAAATGCTGACTTGCTCCTAAATTTTTAACGTCTTTTTTACCACGTTATTTTTTTGTAAATTGTACCTCTTGTTCCGGCAGCTTTTTATCTGATTCAGTCGACGTTTACTAAAAAAAAAATAACCAGAAATTAAGTTCTCTGTATAGGTCTGACATACAATCCTACTAACAGCACCAGTAGCAAATTGATCGAATTAACTATTTAAATAATCAGATCTGATAGTGCTTATAAGTTGCGCAAATCTGAAAACATAAATGAATTTTATTTTACAATTGGCGAACAAAGTTGCTGAATAAGTTTTAAAATTATTTCATGTTGCAAGTGAGTAAATTGTTAATTATTTTTTGGTTAAATGCTAATTGAATTGTTTTGAGCACAATTTAATCACGCTGTTTTCGTGCATAAAGTTGGATCTCTGAAACTAACTCTAGAAATTTTTGAATGAAATTGTTTGTTGATGCACGAAGTGACTTATTTAGGTAATATTTTTGTGGGTGAACCAACAATACTAGTTTTTTGTGCATTACCAACTCTTCTCGCTATGGTTTTCCTCAGATCCGAAATGACAGTTAAATTAGAGCAAAAAATGAAGCTCGATTTTCTCGAAGCTAATGTTATTTTTATGTCACAGTAAATACGAAAACACTTAAGAATTTTGGCTCTTTTCCCTTTTTCTCCACCTCGCACGAGCATTAATTTAAGGATGTATTTAGTTGTTTTAAAGGGTTGATTATGCAGACCAAATATGTTTACAATGGCTCAGTTAGTTCGATTGTCAATTTTCATTAAATGAATTCTGTGAAGACATTAAGATAGGTCGTGCTAATTTTGTTTTCATTTCTTGTAGGTTCAAATCACTCCAACTTTCATCTTCTGCAGTTTGACTTTTGGTTTCTTTTCATGTTCAACTCAAGTTAATTTAGTAAAGTTGGGAAAACAGCGTTTCCCAATTACGAAAATGGAAATGGGGAAAAATGTGAACGTTCTTGTTTCGAAAATAAATTTGATTTTAAAGATTTCCCAGCGGAATAAAAAAACTTTATCCAACGACTCAGTTGTCTCAGTTTGCGTTAGTTTTATCCAAAAAGTGTCAATCATTAATTGTTCTTGAAATTCAAAGAGCCTTAAGGCAAAATAAATTTCTGGTTTGCCTGGGTGCATTGACACTTTCCAACGGTTTAAGGGCTATGTTTGAGAAATGCAATGCTGTTGCCTTGTGATAAATGCGTTGTCTCTGAAATGTCTCTGCCAACTATCAGGAGTCATTAAATGTTTTTTTGAACGTTTTTCATAAATAACAGTATGCTAATACCGAATGAGATTCAAGAGTGGTTGTTTTATGATTTTTAATTTTCCAAAAACAATTTTTGTTATTGTATATATTTTAGATTGATTTCATTCATTCCGTAATTTTTTTTTTCGTTGCTATTTTTTACCGAGTACTTTCTTGTCGAGGATTTATAAGTACTCGGAATTGAATGTTTTTTGTTTTTCAAGATATTCTTGATATTGCAGATTGTTTGTTCCAAGGGTTTTTTTGAACATATAAAAGTGGTAGTTTTTGGAATATCTTGATAAACAGTCGGTGAACGCAGTGAAGACTCATATCTCTATGTGACTTTTTTGTGGAGAAAAATGTCTTAAAATGCTCGAATAACTAAATAAGTGCATTCATACAATTGCATTTATGAATGCATTTAGGTAGTATGCACTTTTTGAGTACAATTCAAATTCATCTGCTAAAACTTAGGCAATTTGCGGCCTTTAATAACGGAGATGGCGCGAAAAATTGTAAACGAAATGATTTGAAAGCTAATGGGATTTCTCGTGGATTAAAAAATTGCCCATTAAACCAGTTTTCTCAAATTAAATTAATTTTTTCTAGACAGTTTTTTTTCGTATGCTTCCGTTCATTGACTGTGGTATGTTCAAAGATGTTTCGTTTTTGGTTAAGCTATCAATGAATGGCTATAAATAATCAATGAATGGAATATTATAATTACTTTATTATTTTTGATAACTTTGCAGTCAAGGAAGTTCAAATTTATTTTGTAAAACTTTGGTTTTCTAATTTTGATTTTTTTAAAGCTTTGTTATCATTACTTCATTTGTTATTTGAAAACTATAAGTAGAGCCCAAATAGATTTAATGGATGCTGCATAAAAATTAATTGTTTATGCTGCATAAAAGTAATTTAAACGCTTCGATTATGCGTTAAAAATATTACGTTTTGGTTTGTTTTTAACACAGTTTTTTTCCTTTGTCTCTTTCTCCCATATAAGCAATGGTTTAGTTTTATGACGCTCAAAAAGCTCCAAATGGTGTTGCAGTGAGATAACATCTGGGGTTTTGGTAATTATTTTTTTGTAATCTTTAATAGAGTGTATTAACAAGTTTCAAGTTTTATTCCGCTATCCTTTGCGCTATCCTAAAGCTAGTCATTACTGTGATAATACAAATGATATGACAAAGGCTTTTAGAAAAAACTTGGAACTTTGTTCAAAAAAGCGATGTTAAAAATAAATCGAGCTCTTACAAACATTCATCTGGCGAGCTGCCGCATTTTTTTTGCAAATGCCTAATGATTATACAATGTGGCTATTCATTGTAGAAATTATGATTTGAAATATACGATTGTTATTTAAGCGTTTTTTAAGACAAAAACACGAGTGCACCATAGGGTGTAGTTTTTGTGTATGATTTAGAAAAAAAAGCAACTAACACAGTGTTATCAAAAGTTATCGCGGAGAGTAGTTTGTCTATCGTTTTTCAAGTAAAAACATAAAAGCAAAAAACTCATTCGCCTGAAAGTTTTAATTCATCTTTGTCTCTGAGTTTTTCAAATTAGATTGTAGTCTATAATCTAATTTGAACAATTCACAGGCAAATAAGACTGATATGTTGAACCGTTGTTATCACTGTGTATGAGGGATTTCTTTTTCTCAGGATAGTAATGAGTAAAGAAACTTCGGGAATTTTGAAAAATTTACAAAAATAAAACAGAAATTATAAAAAGCTGCTTGGTGCCCTCAGCAGCTGCTTTAAGATTGCCTGACAAATGGTCAAACTCGTTTTATATAATCTCTTGAAGGTTTTTTGTAAGCACTTAACAGGTTCAGCAGTTTTTTGATGCACACTTGGTGCGATTAATCCACCAGTCATTCAAAATTGTTGGTAACCTAAGCATCATTTTGTTGAAAGAACTTCCATTAAAGAGAATTACTTAGTCGAAGTAAGTCTAGAATGCAGATGTGTGTAACTAAAATCGGCAACAGGTTCAAGATAATTAACATGCTCTGAAATTATAAAGCTCTAGATTAATGATCTTAATCTTTTAGG